CCGCCGCCCGCCTTTCGGACGAGCGCGGCCGCGCGGCCGGGCGCGTCCAGGCGCTCCAAGTACAGCTTGACCGCTGCAGCCACATCGCCTGCGGCCGCATGGCGCGAGGTTGCAGGGTTGTTCATCGCAAGGTGATGGGTTCAGGGGCCCGTTGCCCGTTTGGGACTGTCTGCAGCTGCAGTAACTTGACTCCATTGTTGTGATGGGGTCCTGAAGCTCCACCCCACTTTGATGAACGATCTTGCCGGCTTGCAGCGTACTGTGGTTGTTCATCCACCAAACCACACAACAGATCACCCAGGGGTCGTGAAGGTTGCGCGCTCGGGGGTACTCGCGCCGCCCACGCCCCCCAAAACCCTGAACCATCGGCCGCCCGCACCTCCGGCCTCGTACGCCGCCGCCGCCTCCTGCCACCGCCCCTGCCCCTCCTTCGCCCGCGCGTACGCCAGCTGCAGCTTGGCCGACGCCACCTTGGCCATCAGCGGCGCCGCGGCCGCGAAGTTCTTGGAGGCGATGTGGATCGCGGCCGCCTTCTCGGCCATGCCACAGCGCTCGAACAGCTCGGCCGCCTCGGGCAGGTGCCCGGCAGCTTCCAGGATCTGGGCGCAGGACTTCCAGAGCGCCGGATCGTCCGCCTGGGCGCGAGATCAATCGAACCACAGGACAGTAAAGGTGAGAGGGAGCCTTTAGGCCACGGGGTGAGGAGGGCTGGCCTGAATGACAGCAGCAGGTCAATAAGGAATTTCAAGCAGTACTGGTTCCAAGTTGCAAGGTCTGCTGCAGACGAGCGGCATGCTCAGTGCTGTAAAGGTCCCTTGAGCGCCCAGGCAGCCACCTGCAGCGCCTCCTGCCTGCCGGCCGCGACGTCCCCCAGGTGCAGCATCGTACGCGCCAGGCCGCCGCGGCAGGCGCGCGCCAGCTCAGCCTGGTCCGGGGCCGAGGGCCCGCTCGCCGCCGCGTCCAGGGCCTGTTGCGGGGGGGGGGGGCGTGTGAGAGCACGCCCACCTTGACCGGTCAAATGCCGCGATCTCGCAGCTGCATCAACTCTGAGCATTGTCAGGCATACGACGCGTCGCTTCTCCATGCAAAAGGTAATGACGATAGCTCGGACGCTGCTTTTTGGATCCAAGCCGAGCACATTTGCAAATTGATCCCTCAACAGGTGGTCAGATCACTTTGAACCCACCTCCTGGTAGTGCTGCCGCGCCGCCGCGTGGTCCCCCACCATCTCCAGCGCCGCCGCGTGCTGCCGGCTGACCCCCGCCACCGCCCCCGGGTCCAGCCGCCGCGCGAGCGCGAGCGCCTGCGGCCAGTGCTTCAGGTCGCGCCGCATCTCGAGCGCCGCCAGGGGGCGGCGGCTGCGGAGGAAGGACTCCTGCGCCGCGTCGTGGTCGCGCTCCAGCAGCACCAAGGCGTGGCCGGCCAGCAGCGCGCGGTCCTCTATGCCCGCCAGCGGCTCCAAGCTCAGCACCATGCTGGCGTCTCCCACCTGAGCGTTTTCGCAGCGCGCCGCGCAGTACGGGCGTTTTGGGCGGTCACCAAAAAGCAGCAAGCCAGGGCGGCGGCGCGGCGGCTTTCATGGGAAGCTGTGGCAGGTTGGCTTATGAGTATTGGCTTGACAGCCAGGGTGCGTGCAAACGCGGCCTGCGGCTGAGTTTTGGGGGCTGTTGACGCTTTGCGCGCGGGCGCAGCGTGGCTGCTTCACCTGCCGGAACGCCGCGGTGGCCGTCGCCATGTCCAGCGCCTCGAGCGCCGCCACCCCCAGCTGCCGCCAGGCGTCGGGCGCACGCAGCGCCAGAGCGCAGCGCCACGCCTCCTCCAGCCGCTGCAACTTCAGGGCCTGGCTGAACCTGGGAAGCCAGCCGGCAGCCGTGCCGTGTGTGTTGTGAACTGCTATCAATACGCACTATTGCAGGGCCCGACAAAGGGGGTGTTGAGCTGCTGGTGCACCAGTAAGCCTCGCAAGCAAGCCTGCCGCACACCGCCACCCGCTTTGATGATAGCAGCGGCGAGCTTCGCCCCACCGCTCACCGCCTCGTCAGCACGCCCTTGGCCCCACTGCCGCTGCCGCCGCCAGCCCCGCCCGCCGCCATCGCACCCTGCAGCGCCCTGTGGCTCTCCACCACAATTGTGTCAAGCGCCCCGCCCCGCAGCCGGCACATCACCGCGCCGTTAGCCACCACCACCGGCGCGTGCGTCGCCGGCACCGGCGTGCGGCACAGCAGCGCGACGCCGGGCCCCGTCGTCGCCGCGGGCGGGACGTGGACGTACGCGTGCAGCGCGTTGCCATCGGAAACCACGAACACCCGTGCGTCCAAGGCGTCCCAGATCACCGCGTTCGCGACGCCCTCGAAGCCTGGCAGCTTGACCACGTGGTCGTTCACGGCGTTCAGGAGGAATAGGCTGTGGCGCTCGTCCTCAAACACGCAGCGCACGCCGTCGGGCTGCGGCCAGACGCGCAGGACGGCGCCCCCTGCGAATGGTGATTACCATACTGGTCTTTGATTGCAGTCGGTGCACACAGATGATGGCAATCTTGCGCCAATGCGCGTGTCAGCAACGCACAAGCCCATTGGACCCCTTCCCCCTGCCCTGACATGGACATGTCGTTGCAGATAGAGTGGGTGGTGGACATGGGCACGCACAAAGGGGCGTCCTTGAATATCTCTAGGGGCGCGCACCCCCATCCTTCCCTGGCTCCTTCCCCGGGCCCGCGACGGGCCAACACATTCCCACGGCCCACCTGGGTGCCTGTACTCGTTGACTGGCTCCAGCGCCGGCAGTAGGTAGTGAGTCAGCCCGCCCTGTGCGCTGCCTGCCACGACAAAGTGCTCCGTCACCCCGCCGCACAGGATAGCCTGCGTCAAAAAAACCGCCAGTCATTGGCTGGCACAGCTGGCAGAGGCACGTGTTACCGGCCGGTCACACGGCGGGGCTGCCACGGAGCCGAGCGTTTGGAACTGGCAGAGTCGAAACCCTGGTTGATGCGACAGTGTTGACAGGCCAAGCTCAACTTTGGACGACACACGACCCGAAAAACCCCGCCCACCTGCGGCGCCGACGAGGGCGGGAGCACCGCATCCTGCTCATCGCCGGCCCCGAGCCCGGCGGCGCCGGCGGCGCCCCGCTCCCGGGGCAGGGGCTCTATGGGGTGCACCACCAGGCGGCCGTCAACCAGCACCACGGCATGCGTGCTGCTGAGCCAGAGGGCGGCGACGGCGCCCAGGTAGTCGCGGCGCGCGGCGAGGGCGGAGGGCCGCTGAGGGCCGTGGGCGTAGTATAAGACCTGGCGGGCACAGAAGTTGCGGTATGAAGAGGGCTGGGCTGTCGAGGGAACGATTATTTCATGAGCTCCTGGCCAGCTGCAGCTTTTCCCAGGCGCGCGTGGGGGAAATTCAGACCATCAGCATCACATTCCATCGGGCGCTGCATCCACCCAGGTGTCCAGCCCCAAAGCGCCTAGTCCGCGCCCTGCTGCCCCGACTGCTCCTCCCAACCATCCAGCGCCCGCCCCACCCCCACCTGGTTGTTCATCCCAACTGCGATGTGCTCCGGCCCCACGGCGCAGAACGCCGGCTCGCACGCCACCTGCAGCCGCGACGGCGGCGCGCCGCGGCCGAGGGCCAGGTCCACCACGGTGATCTCGCTCAGTGAGGTCAGGTGCGCCAGGCGGCCGCCGTGGGCGCCAAACACGGTGGGCAGGGCCGCCAGGTATGAGATGAGCTGGCCGCCAGACGTGGAGACAGTGAGAACCTGGTACGATTTGGCGGTGGGGTCGCAGGGGCGTGCGACAAGGGGGTCGAGGGACGAGGGCAGGCGGCGGCTCAGGGGTGGCTGCTGACCTTCGAGCCGTTTGCCCTTCGCGAAGCAATGGCCAGGGGGTGTGACGCAGGCCGCGTGCTGCTCTTGATCTTTGCCCGGAGGGCCCCTGTGATGGCGGCAAATCGTACAGCGACGCGACGCGCCCGCATCGCCCACCCGCCCGTCCTTGCTCCAGCCGAGCGCGTCCACCAGCTGACCCTGCGGTACCTCCACCGCCTCTGAAGGCACCTCCTGCACCCTCGCGCCAACGTCCAGGATCTGCGACGGATCAGGGCGTGGGGTGTAGAAGCAGAGGGAGGCGTTTGGGTCGGTGCGTAGCAGGGGGTCGAGGTCTTCGGAGGTGGGGGCATGTGGCTGGGCAAGGCGGCCACGGCTAGGCTGCACCAGTGTCTCCGCGCGGGCGTGCGTGGGTGTATACGTATGTATGTGCGCGCATGTGTGTGTGAATGTGTGTGTGTGTGTGAGTGTGAGTGTGTGTGTGTGTGTGTGTGTGTGTGTGTGTGTGTGTGTGTGCACGCGCGCGCGCATGTGTGTGCGCGCACGTGCAAAAGCAGCCATGTAGGTGGTGCCACCAAGATTCTAGTCGCCCCATGGCCGGACGAGCCTCCCACCTTGACCGTGCTGCCGCCGCCGACCGCGACGCGCGACAGCGCGGGGCAGTGCGCCATGTCCGCCAGCAGCTCCAGGTGCTGCGCGCTGTGAACCTCGGTGCCCACCTCCTTGCTGAGGGGGGCGCGGCCAACCGTTCAGGGCGGGGCGGCGCAATTCAAGTCTGGGCAGGTCCCAAGCAAGTGGTTGCAACTGGCAGCGGACTGCGTCTGTGGGCCGGTGCGTCTGCCGTAAAGGACCTGTGACTAGGCCAGGTGCTGGCCGCAGTCACGTTTTGAACAGCTGCTTGCGGAAAGGCCAGGCACCACCGCCACCAGGCACGTGTGGACCGCGTCACGCTTGCACTTTGGAACCTCAACCACACTTGGGATCGCGCTTCCACGCACGCTTGCCGTCCCTCCGCCCGCCCTCATACCCGCCACCCCACCTGGCGGACGACACCACCACAATGCGGCCTGTCCTGAATCCCACCATCACGAAGCCGTCCCCAAACCACAGGTGGCGCTGCATCGCCCCATACTGCTCCTGAAAAGTCAGCTCAAGGGGCGCCGCCGCCACGCCGCCCGCGGCAGCGGGGCTGCGGCCCGCGGGGTGCAGAAGGTACAGCACGCGCTTGTTAGTGATGGTGGAGACGGCGCCGTCCTGCTTGTAGGTGGGATGGTGTCAGGGTGCACGCGTTGCAATGAATATGGAGAGCTCAGGGTTAACGATCAAGATTGGGTAGTGCGTTGGGGGAATGGCGCAAAGCATGGAACCAAGCCAGAGATGTCTGCATGTCCCTCAGACGCTTTAGCGTCAGGCATCCGAGTCCGTCGCGTTGCCATTGCTTGCACCCAGTGCCAGGGGAGGGGGGGTGTTCTCACGTCGCCGCCGGCGCCGGCGTCGTCCTTGCGCCGAGCAACCGCGACCTCCAGGGGGTCCCCCTTGACCTGCCACGTCCGCAGCGTCTCACCGCTGGCCCCGTCACTCAGGACGACCTGGCGGTCGCGCCGTTCGTGCGTGAAGAGCGAGGCGACGATCGAGGAAGATAACCATGCGCACTGGTGTGTTTTCTCAGCCAGACCTCAGAGCAGGCAAAAATGGCCGCGCATGTCAGCGGCAACACCCGGAAGTGTCTCCCAGACTGCAGGATAAAAACACTGGTCTGCTCCGCCCTGCTTGCGCCCACCGTTTTGTCCGCAGCCCCAGTCGCCAGCACCCCCTCGTCCCCCCACGCGCCGCACAGCACGCGCTTGGTGTGCTTCCCCACCACCGGCGTCCGCTGGCGCTCGCGCAGCAAGAAGAGCTGGAGGTTGCCCTTGGCCGTCCCCGCGGCCAGCGTTTGCGAGCCGCGGGCCCACGCGATTGCAGATATTTCTTGGGCCTGGTGTGTGCGTGTGCATATCCGCGCATGCGCGTGTGCGAGTGCATGTGCTTGTGCGTGTGCGTGTGCGTGTCTCTGTATATGTGTGTGTGTGACTGACAGCGAGAGCGACACCGCAAGAGCGCAAGAGCGCGAGAGCGCAAGAGAGTGTGAGAGCGAGAGAGCGAGAGAGAGCGAGAGGGAGCGCGGCCGTCTGTGCTGACTTTCCGGCCCCCGCCCGCAGCGAGCCGCTGCATTTATAAGCCGCAATATAAGTGCCCAGGCATTCAGGCCCAATCATGACCGTATCGTGACCTCCCACCCTGAACTCTGTGTCCAGCTTTTGGAGTTCCCGCGTCGCGGCAGCCCACACATACACCGAACTGCTTCCTGATGGCAGCGCCGCCAGCATGTCCCCGTTTGCATCCCACTGCGGCGAGGTGACATGCCAAACCCGCATTCTGTATAGGGCAAGAAAGCCGGTTTGCCTGGATGAAAGCGTGTATAACTGCCCGGCGCAGAGCCATCCTGCTGCAGCTGCTGGGTGCGGTCACCCTGTGCCCTCGTTACCCATCCCCAGCCCCACCTGCAGCTGCAGGCAGCAGCTCTGCTTGGGGTCCGCAACAGGCGCTTCTGGCGGCGGCAGATGAAGCTCCTCCAGCAGCTTCCCATTCCGGTCGTAAACGACGAATTGTCGCTGCGCGCATGCGGTGCGGCATCGCGCATGCAGCCTTGGAACGTGTCAGCAGCAGCCGCAAGTCCGCCTCGCAATGCAAGCGCTGGCGCAAGCAGCGGGGCGCGCCATGCTGGGCGTGGATCGTGTATGTAACCCGTATACTCAGGGATGTGCTATGGGCGTGCCTTATTGCCTGCGGCGGCGAGGAACGTTCCCCGAGGACTCCAGGCAAACGCGACGCGGCCGTCGCCCAGCTCGTTCGCGCCGCACGCAAACAGCTGCCTCTGTGGGTTGTCCGAATTGAGGTCGGGAAGGGAACGTGTTGAAGATGATGGGTTAAGATAATGCAATCCAAGTTTTGGTGGGTGCTGATGCTGGATCGGCCGTGGCTGGCCAGCCTCTCACCATTGTCAGCAGCTGCGCAAACGCTAACGCGCAACTGCGCCAGGCGACACTGCGCCGATGTGGTCGAAACGACCAGGGATGTGTCACTTAACGAGATGGTGGGCTTAGATTGTCAAAGCCATCATGACACGCGGGCTGGATACGCGCCGAGTCAACTCGAGTTTCGAACGATCTGGTGGGTTCATGCACAGTGCTGTGATACGAGACCTAGAAAGATGTGATATCAAACCACACCGTGCGGTCAATTGCATAACCCCATCACTACGGTACCGGTCCGTCCGCCCGCCACCCGCTGAGGGTGACGACACCTGCAGTGCTGGTGTGCCGCAACTGATAGCGGCGCACTGCGAGACACTTGTCTGTGCGGCGGGGACTTTGAGAGTTGAATGGAATGGTGCGGCAATCTGCCCGCGGTGGGGAGGCTGCAGGCCCGCATTTGAGAATTCTTGCTTGACAATCAACCACGCACATGCTCATACAACAGTCGCAGACAGTAATGCGGTGGCAAGGTGAGAGATAGATATGTCAAGATACATAGTATTTTGACAGACGGGCAGTGAAAAAGTATACCATGAAGGTCAACAGCGTGCACTACTGCAAAGGTGTGTGTGTGGGGGGGGGGGGTGTGGGAAATTGTGCGCATCAAGGACTATGACGCATGGACATAAGACACAGCAAACACATGCATGCTACGCCGCCATGGTGCCTGACCGCTGATAACAAAATGGCAGCATTCCTATAGCCCTAGACAAGCCACGATTAACAGTCAGTAGCTTCTCATACGGTCCACCCTAAAATGGCAGAGGATCACTTACATCAGCACTTCAGCCTCGCCATGTTGCTGGGCTTTGCCCGCCAGTGCCTGATTGCCAGGAGCGGTCGCCACCATGAGCAGCCCCGCCCCTGCTGCGCGGCACCCCCCTGCATATGGGTGCGCCGCCACGTGCATGCAGCACACTGCAGGCTGGCAGTCCTGCACCCCCAACACTGCAGCTGGTGCGCCTGCACGAGCACCATCCTGTCGGCGCCTGCTGGCAGCTGCAACTCAACGTTGCCTTGGCTGGCAGACCAGCTGCCTTTCGGTTGCATCCCCGAGCTCGCATTATTAGCTTAGTGAACTTTCAGGGCCTCACTACTGCCGCAACATAACAACCGGCTCAACTTTTCGCCTTTAGTTACCCCAAAAGGTGGGCGGTGTTGAGATACCCAACCTCGACACCACACCGGGAATAGGTGCCATGCAAGCTTGCGGCGATGCCCAACCGCCGCGCGCTCGCACAAGCACCCGACACGCACACGCACGAGGCCAGCCACAGCGATGCCCAACCGCCGCGGCGAGCCACGCGCGTGCAAATGCTACCATCGGGACGCAGCACGCATATGTAGGACACGTACTTAGCAGAGTGAACCGGGCCGGCACGGTCAGGTTGCGCCTCCCGTCGCGTAAAGTCTGGCCCCGGCCGACCGATGCAGCGTTGCGGGGCGCGGCCCCTGACGTGCTGCAGCTTGCTGCACTTGGGGCCACGCCGACGCGGCGCGTGGCGCGCAGTCGGCCAGAGCCTCTGTCCATCCAAAACCCAACTTGAGCGCGGTGTGGTTGCGCCCTCTCTGCCTCGCCAGCCCTTGCGCACCACAAAGAGCGTGGTGCCAAGCGGCGCCGTTCAACGGGTGTGGAAAGGGGGGAAAAGAGTGTGTTGAGAGCGCGGCCCTGCGGGGCATGCCCGCCGCGGCCGCCCCGCCAGCGCGCACACGCTGGTGTGGGCGCTTGCGACGGGGATCGGCCTTGGCGGCCCCGCGGGGCCGGCGGCCACGACGCCCCGTCTCCGATGAGAGGAGGGCGCCGCCAGCCGTGAGAGAGCCGTGAGGCGCAGCGCTCGTTTGCGCTGCTGCACGTGCACAAGATGGGAAAGAAAGTCCGGCCGTGGCAGCGGTTGAAGCGGCCACGGCTCGGACTCCGAGGATGACGCGAAAAACGACAAAACCGTTTGGTGGGCAGGGAAAACAATCTGCTCTAGTGAATAAACATGATACGAAAAAGGTCTTTGTATCTGCACCCCCACTAAGGTCTTTGGTTTGGGTCTTGAAACCGTGGGACCACACAACAACAGGTGGTGCGAGCCATACACATCACAGGCTCGACCGTGAAAGGGGGGCGCCATGGGGAGCCGGGAGCTCCTCCCGACCCCCCTGGCGCGCAAGTAGCTCGTTCTCCACCCCGGCCGCGGCTGGGGCCGTCCTGGCCCAGCCCGCGCCTTGAAAGCCTTGCACGAATCCTCATCATTGGCCAGACAGACACGGACACACTCTAAAAGGGGGGGCGCGCTGCGCCGAGCCGCCCCCGCCCCGCGCAGCGCATGCGGCAAGTTTTTGCAATGCGCACCACATCACGCGCCGCCGCCGCGGCCCCCGGGCCGCGCCTCGGCCGGGGGCCTGCAGAATAACCCAGGGAAATTCTCGCGTCCACACGCTCGGCGCCCGCCGCGCGCATGCGACGATCCTGGGACTAAAATGGGCGGCCGGCTCGGCCGCGCCACAAATGTGGAGGTGCACCCGAGCCACGCAGACCCCCAGGCCCCGTTGACGCGCAGCGTTAACTCCGTCAAAAGCCAGCCAGCGCCCCGCCAGGCGGCTGCGCCAGGCGGCGGCGCCCGCGCCGCGTGCCCGCGCGGCGGGGGAGGCCTGCCCCTGTTCAGTTTGGGGAGGCGTCGTCCCGCGCGCGCGCAGCGGCGCGGGCGCGCCAGGTGGCGCGGGCCTGCCCAGTCGGACTCACGGCCTGCACGCGGCAAGCAGGCCGCGTGGCAAGGGGCAAAATGCACATGCGCACACAGAGGCGCGGCCCTGTATCACACAACAGCTTCGTTGAGGCGGTGCAACCGGTGACCATCTAGGCGACACGTGGAGAGGCCTCGACAGCGCGGTGCTGCAAAAGGGGGTGTCTGGGACACGAACCACACACGAAACAAGGCTCGGACAAGAAGCGTGGCTGTGGGTTTGTATAACTAACACAAGCTGACAAGAGTAAGATCGATTCTGCTGCCGTCGGCGCCATCACGGGGGGCAAAAGCCCAGCGCGCCGCGGGTGAGCCAACATGTGGGGGGCGCGGGTACCCACGCCCCCGCCGCGCGGCCCCAAAGGCCGCGCTTGCAAGCGGGGCGCGGCACGCGTCACAACGGGACGCGATGTGCTTGGACTGATCGGCCTGGCAAAGGGGCCGTTGGCGCCGCGGTAAAGGGAGGTGGCGAGGGAATTGGCCTGAGCCGGGGCCCCCGGCGAGACGCACGCGCAGCAGAGGCCCCAGCTGCATGACCGATGCGCACGCGCGCGGGCGCAAGCGCCTCTCGATTTGGGTTGGCTCTGCAACCCTTTGTCTTCTGTGGAGCAGCAAAAGGGCCGGCGGCGTCATCTGGAGCGTCATGGGGCCCTCTCGCAAGTGTCGGTCCCCGAAAAACACTGCCGCCGTTGAGCTGCAGGGACGCGGGAGTGCGCCCTCAAAATTTTTCGCTTGGGCCGCCGGCCGCCTGCACCTGCATCATGTCGGCGAGGCTGCGCGGCACAGACTGCGCGCGCCGCATGCCCAGGCCATCGGCCGAGCCGAAGCCGCAGCGCGGCCGCTTGCTGCGCGGCGGGCCCATGCACTCGCCCTCGTCGCAGTCGCGGCCCAGCTCCGGCGGCGCGGTCGCCGCAGACCCGGTGGGGGCGGCGGCCGCGTCGCGCGCAAAGGGGCGCGGGAACGCGCCGCACGAAGCCACATCGGTGCACGCGCTGTCGGCGCTGCAGGTCGTGGCCGCAGACGCGCCGAGGGCGCCGCCGCCGCAGCCCCCGCGCTGCGCGCCGCCGCACGCTGTCGGTGCCGCCTTGTCGCACGCCGGGGCCGCCGCCGCAGAGTGCGGCGGCAGCATCAGGCCGGGGTGCATCGCGGGGTGCGCGGCGGGGCCGGCCGCGGCGGGCGCGCGGGCCGGCGGCGCGCGG